GGGCTCCGGCTCGGCCGATCCGGGCTCGTCTTTTCCCCCGGAACTTTTCGTCTGATGATTTTTGTTGGGTCTCTCTGCAGGGATCGCCGGAGAGGAATCGCGACGAGGGCTTCCTCCTATCAGGTTCGTGGCCCGGCGACCCTCTTTTCCCGGTGACAAACATCTGTTTTTCTTAGCACGTTCTGTGGTAGCCCGTGTGCCTTTATTTCTCCCGGTCAAAAGTCCTGATTTTATCTGTGGCCGTTGATTCCTCCGGCCGCCGTAGAAGCCGCCGGCCCGCTCCGATTTGTTCTCCCGGCGTCCAATTCCGCAGAACGGCGACGAGCCGTTGCCTAATTCGGCGCTCCGGTGTAGTAGTAAAGGCGGCCGGCCGGCCTCCTTTACACGTATCCGCCCGGTGTGTTCGCTGCGGCAGCCGGTTGTTGATGCGGCCGCTTTCGCAAAAGTTAGTGCGCGGATACGGTTTGCTACTTTACGGATTTGTTGCCGCTGTTGCGTAAAGCGTCGTAAAGTCGGGGCCTTTCTTTAGAATTAATTTCCCCTGCTATACTCTGATCTGCTCTGATGCCGGTAGGTGATTAGGCCGCTGTTGGCTAGTTATAAGGCAGGCAGGCTGCATCGTTTAGTGGTAGTACCTTCAGTTCGGTGTTTTGACCAAGCAGCCACCACTACCCTTTTGTAAGATAAGATGCTTTGTCGAGCAACTAACGTACTTTAGTAGATTTGGATTCAGTAGGCCAAAACGTGACTGAAGATTATACCATGTTCATCTGTAAATTGCCAACTCCGCAGTGATAGTCTGAAATACAATTTGTGCCTGTGCTGTGAAGATTATACCCTTGTGAAGTGTTTGTCTTGACCGTGTTGTGTCTGATTTGCAGTTAAATCAAAGTCATGGAGCACAAGGAGACCGGCTGCCAGTCTCGTGAGGGCCCCATCCTTTGCGTCAATAACTGCGGCTTCTTCGGCAGTGCGGCGACCATGAACATGTGCTCCAAGTGCCACAAGGAGATGGCGATGAAGCAGGAGCAGGCCAAGCTGGCCGCCTCCTCTTTTGACAGCATCGTCAACGGTGGTGATGCCGCGAAAGAACATCTTGCTGCTGGCAACACGGCGGTGGCAGTTGCTCACGTAGAGGCGAAGATGCTTATTACCGCACAGCCTGCTGATATCGCCGGTCCCAGTGAGGCGGCGATGGAGAACCCCAAAGGCCCAAGCCGGTGCAGCACCTGCAGAAAGAGGGTCGGGCTGACCGGATTCAACTGCCGGTGCGGGAACCTCTACTGCGCGACTCACCGTTACTCGGACAAGCATGAGTGCAAGTTTGACTACCGCGCCGCGGCCATGGACGCCATCGCCAAGGCCAACCCGGTGGTGAAGGCGGAGAAGCTCGACAAGATCTAGGAAGGGCCCCCCTACGGTCGGCAGAACATAAGGTCCCAAATCAAATCTGCGCTACCTCGTCATCGTGCGTCTTTGCTGCATTATCCTTTCATCATGTTGGCTTCTGCAATCCTAGTTGTTGTTGGGCAATCGTGATGCACGGCACACGCGCCTCGGCGGCAGCCCCAGGTCCGAACGGTCTCCTTGTTGGCTATGTTGTGTAAGCTTTATTTATGGTCGTCTCTCTGCGCGGCGGAACGGTAACGGTATTGTGGCTTTCGCATTTTGGCTAGCACTCTGTAATGTACTCCTGTTTCCTCCTGGTGTCCGTCTGTCTGTCTGTCTTACAGTCGCAACCGGTAATGGTATCGAGTAAGCGTCGTCGTCTGTTATTATGGTATATCCATGGTCTTTCCCCCTTGTCAATGGTTCCTGTGTTCCTGATCTTCAGGCCAGTTAGCCCCTGAGAAAATTTACATCACACCTGTGCAGCTGGGCTATCTCCACCGGAAGATAGAAGTTCAGTGTCTGGTGAGATCTTGGTGGAATTCTGCTGTGAGGTTGGTTGTGAGATGGTGTCTGATATTATCTGGGGAATTCTGGCATGTCATGCTCGTCTTGTGTGGGAGCTTTGGGCTGGCTGGGTTGGAACACGCAACCAGGACGAAATGCAGTGGTGGCGCTCTGCGTTTGGCCGCTGGGATGGGTTTCTAGGCGCAGTCGTCCGCTGCGTCGTCTTTGCCCGTTTGGCTTCTACGATCATGCTCCCCATTCTACCAAGAATTTCTTGCCTAGATTCTACTGCTCTATGCGCATAGTTTTTCGTTCTCCGTTGGCGGCACGGTCTCTCTCTTGCTCTCGCTCTTGGATCTGCCATTGAATTTTTCGACGGGCTCATCGCTGTCACCAACCCGTACCACTTGAGTTTCTTAAATTTACAGGGTTTCTGGAACTCTGGTGACCCTGAGATCAGACTATTTTTTTTTCGTCTGCCAAAACTTCATTCGCAGAATCAGAAGATTCTTATCCGTTCATACAAATGAAGAACAACTGAATTTTTCAGTTTCCTACTGACGAGTTATTCAGTAGACCAGACTAGACTAGTTCATTTGTCAGGCGCCGACGTTGAAGTAGACGGTGTAGAACTCGTCCCTCAGCGTGAACAACGGCTCCAGGAGGAAGCTCCTCCTCGCCCCCCTGGCGGCGAAACTGATCGGATGGTACCGCCGCAGCGGCTCGGCCCGTGCGAAGCTCGCCGCCTGCAGGGAAAACCCCGGGCCACAGCCGACCTGAACATTCGCCTTCGCGCCGGCGGTGATCAGGAAGCACCCCGGCCTGGCCGCGAGCTCGAGGGAGACTGATCCGGGCGCCCTGTCGAGCCCAGGGACGACGTTGAACAGAGAGCTCGGGCCCTTCTCTGCCGCCAGCGTCAGGTTGTTGGAGACTGCCATTCCCGGCATGTCGAACGGCTCGATCAGCGCGGATGCAAGCGTCGCCGTGGCGGCGGTGCCGTTGGTGGCGTGGCGCCGCTCGCCCGTCGGCGGGGCGACCTGCCCCTGGGGGACCAGACGGAATGTGGCGTGCACGGCGGCGTCGGTCCCGCCACCCTCGGGGTGCGGCTGCATCGTCAGGGAGGTGGCTTTGGCGGTCGAGAGGAGGGAGAGGACCAAGGTGCCGTTGCCGGATTCCTGCGTCAGCGTCACCAGCTGGGAGTTGTACGATGCCGGGACAGGGGTGATCCATTCCGAGACGGCGGCGCCGCCGGCCTTGGCGTCCCAGTCTCCGGTCGTGAGGCCGGCGAGGAGGAATGGCCCGAAGAGGACTGCTTGGAGAGTCGCATACTCCGGCCGATCATCTGCAGATGTAAGAGTAAGAGTGAGTTTGATAACTGTGGACGCATGAAGTTGCAAGTTCCTCCGTTCAAGCTGAAAAACATTTGATCCATAGTAAAAAAAGGTGAAATTTCTCAGACCTTTTATAGCTTCTGTCCTCAGGCCAATAGGCAGCTGGAGTGTGAGGCGATCACCACTACCCCACTGCTTGGTGACTGAGAGGAAGGTTCCTGATAAAACAGAGATTGAGTTTGAACTTAGAACAATCAAGTCTCTGTTTCATCAAATATTTGCCAAATATTAGTGGAATGTGCTCTTACCTGGAGATGCCATTTGCAGATCTTTGTCATTCAGTGTTGCTTTCGCACCATTCGGAGATGCCCACGACGGAATTCTCACATTCACCGTCGCGTACTGACCGTTCGTCTGCACGGCATAAAGCAGATTGACTAAACCCCTATCCTTTCCAACGAATCATCATCGAAAAAGTCTCCTGCTTTACCTTCGCCGATATGGACAGCGAAACCTGAAGATTCTGATCAGATGAGCTGAGGGGCTTCACTTGCTGAGTGACAGTAAGGCCTACAGATCTCCAGTTGAACGTGCTCGGTATGTACTGAACGATATATAGCGCCGGTTTGCCGCCTTTCTCCTCGAAGTAGATCGAGTCCCCAAGCTTGGAAAATGATTCTATCCCTGCAGATAACAGATCAGGCAACAATTCAGACATCTCAAATTGCCAGTTCTGAAACTCAGAGATCTGCCTACTACTACTTACCAGTCCCATAGCAGCACCAGAATGAATCATACTGTGTCCCCCAGCCATGGTAGCTCACTGCCTTGGATTTTCCAGGGCCCTGGGGCAGCATGTAGATCATGACGCCGGGGTCCCTCCCTCTCTGGATGCTCAGGACGCCGTTTATCAGCGCACGCTCGTAGTAGTCCGCGTACGCGATCTCTTTCGTCCATCTGAAGAGGTGGCGAGATACCTGCATAATTTCTTTAGCAGAGATTCTTGGGATGACGAGTTATTTTGGTGATCCGAGGATGAAGATGTAGATCACCTTGAGCATGTTGTATGTGGTGCAGGACTCCTCGTTCTCGGTGGTCAGAGTCTCGGCTAAACGCTTTGGATCGAACCTGGCAAAATCATTTCAGAAATGAATTTTCTGACAGAAGACAAATTGTAAACTTCTGGCATCATTCTAGAATCAGTTACGTACCAGAATTCACTGACGGATGTGCCGCCGGTTGCGTAGGTGTGTGAAGAGTTTACTACGTCCATGAAGAACGTTGCGATTTCCTGTTTCACGAATGTTACTGTCAGTCTCACTCTCACCCGAATCAACTCATGCTGAAACAAATTGACACTTAAAACTTCCTGAAATGTAGACTTGGAGGAACTTTTTCTTACCTTGTAGAGAGGATCGCCGGTAACCTCGTATCTCATTTGCCCGCCGACGACGATCGGAATGTGCGTGTTGGCGTGGAAATCCGAAAGACTGTCAGCCTGAATAGGAAACGGGAAGAAGACACACCATTCAGAACACGTAGCTCATGCTTCGAGTGTGTGTTTAGTAAACCATGAAGAAAATGCAGAGCAGGTATCAGAAAGCCACAGGGCGAAAGGAAGCTCGTCGGACCTGAACTGCGAGCAATCCGAGGAAGCACGGCTTGTCGAAAAGGTGAGCGAGCACCAGGTGCCGCTGATCATTCTGGCGAACGGAGCAAAACGTATCAGCGTCGGAGGCAGCATGAAGCCATGAACAGACGTGGCAAAAGAGGTGGTGACGGGGCAAGGTTACAGTGATGGCGTAGAGCTGGTAGAGCACGTCGTTCATGCCGCCGGTCTCCTCGTTGAGGGACGTCCAGTGCCGCTCGATGCTGTGCCGCTGTATGACGCTCCTCACGCGCTCGCCGAAGTAGCCGGCCATGGCGACCACCATGGCCAGGGCCTTGCCGTTGCCGGCCACCGTGTACTGGTCCAGGAGGCCCTGCATGATCTGCCCACCGTCCGCGAGGAAGAAACACAGCGAGAAGGTCAGTCCTCACTCCTCAGCGACGAAGCAGAGTTTCGCAGCAGAGTACGCGATGGCTGCTTGTATCGTATGTGTGTACCTTGTGGATGGTGTAGTAGGGAGCCCAGACGGGCTGGATGGCCTCGAAGCGGTCGAAGAACTCGGCGGGGAAGGCGGAGAGGTAGCCGGCGCCGCCATTGGCCGGCGCCTGCTGGCACGCGTGGAGGGCGTCCACCACGGCGGACATCTTGCCGGCGAGCGTGCCATTGTGCGTGCTCGCCCACATCTTGGCCGCCGCGCTCAGGTAGTGCCCTGCATTGCGCACAAAAGTGAGGTGCCGCTCCATTTGGGTCCGATTGCGAATACTCGTGTATCTATTTTGTAACTTTCTAAAATCCTGGGCCTAATTTGTATTGTTTACTTAAATAAAATCTTGAGTTAGAGACACGTATGATATGTCTTGTTTGAGCCCAAGTTCACCCTGTGATTTAAAAAAATATATTACAGCCACCCTGCCAAAATATTAGTAGTATACTAAAATTGTGCGTGCTCATTTAATGTTGAAAATGAACTGCTGTATGCAAGTTGCCACAAACATATCAAATATTCCAGAACCATCCAAACAAATAGCAATGGCTATTACAAATAAATGAACTACATTTTTGTTGCAGGTAAATAAATGAACTACATTTTTTTGCGGGTAAATAAATGAACTACATTAAGCAAGTTGGCACCAACATACACAAATTCCAAAAACATCCAAACAAATAGCAAAGTCTATATTAATAAACAAAAATTTAGCAAAAATAAATAAATTGATAACCAAACAAACATACTCCTCAAATGTTGCTATCAAAGAATTGGGGTTAGACAAGGCAGCCGATCTTATCTTCATGGGCCAAAACTCTACCCAACCCTGAACCCCACGGCCCATCTGTCTCAGTCGGACAGAATTGAGCTTTCTTTCCGGGCCTGATATATAGGCCGGAGCCATGAACCGCCTCGTCCTCCATCCATCCAATCCGAGTTAATTGCACAGAAGTACCACAATTCGGGCATCACATGCAGATTGGTACCACGATTGCTAATTTTGTATCAACATTCATTTAAATTTTTACAAATTATACTAAAACACGTATTTATACGTATTGACAGTGTATCTGACCATTGGGGCCCGTCCGTCAGGTGCCGACGTGGCATATTTTTTGCAGAAAACCCCTTGGCTTTATATGTAATTACATAAATGCTCATTTTTTCGCAGGAAAACCGCCATTAAGAGGGACTTTTTTTTCCGTTCGCGAGTTTTTCGCGGACTTATTCGAAAGTTTCCGGCGAATTGAACAAATAAATAACCGGAACGAAAAAACGGGCGCGCGCGAGATTCGAATCCGCGACCTGCAGGTCTGCCGCCGGGCGCGCTAGCCACTACGCCACAGCGACGCTGTTGCCTTGATTCAGGCGAAAGTTTTATTATACTAGTACACGCACGCTGGGCCGGCAGCTGGGCCAAGCAAAGCCTGCAATATTATTTTACAAATAATTTAGTAGATGCAAAATGATCATTTTTTAATAGATGCAAAATGATCATTTTTTCTTATTTTTACACAGGCTGTATTAATAGCATTATCTTTGAGAAAAATATTAGTTTGGTAAACATGCAGATTACTACATGTGTTATTTTTTGACAAATAGAAATATGAACCCGAGATTGAAACTTTCATCGTTTTAAAAAAGTTCAATATATAGGTGACAAATGGTTTTATAATACAAAAAAAGTTCATCGTATATTTATATAAAATCATTGTATATAAAAAAATGTTCAATGTTTAGTGTTTATTTACAAAAAAATATCGCAGAATAAAAAGTTCACTATAAACTTAAAAAATGTTATGATCATTTTGCATCTATTAATTTTTTTTACATAATGCACGGTGAATATTTATTACAAAAATGATCAATATAAGTTAAAAAATCTTAATATATGTTGAATAATTTTGGTAACATATATTAAGAAAATTGTTCAACATATATTACAAAAATGATCAATTTCATTGAATGAAAAAAGATGAAGAAAGGAAAAGAAACCTGGGCAACGAACGAGCCCCAGCAAAACGCAAAACGAAAAAATTATTACAGGCCTCGGTTGGCCCAACCACCGGTCCAGCGTTTTATTGTTTGTATAAAGAGGTACTGCCCGCCTTTGAAACAGAGCACACCTGTGGCATGGTGGCTAGCGCTCTCCGCTTGCGTGTTGCTGGTCGCAGGTTCGAAACCTGCTGATGATGTGCATTTTTCCTTTATTTTATTTGTTTATGCTGAACATTTTTTTAAATACGTTGAACAATTTTCTAAAGATATGATGAATATATTTGACATAATGCAAGGTGAATTTCTTGTAATTTATGGTGAACATTTTCTTAGACATGATGGATTTTCGTAAAATATTGCAGGCTTTGCTTGGCCCGGCTGCCGGCCCAGCGTGTGTGTGCTAGTATAATAAAACTTTCGCCTGTATCAAGTCAGCAGCGTCGCTGTAGCGTAGTGGCTAGCGCGCCCGGCGGCACGCCTGCAGGTCGCGGGTTCGAAACGCGCGTGCGCCCGTTTTTCCGTTTCGGATATTTATTTGTTCAATTCGCCGGAAACTTTCGAACAATTCCACGAAAAACTCGCGAACGAAAAAAATGTCCCTCTCAATGGCGGTTTTCCTGCGAAAAAATGGGCATTTATATGATTACATATAAAGCCAAGGGGTTTTCTGCAAAAAAATGCCACGTCGGCACCTGACGGACGGGCCCCAACGGTCATGCACTGTCAATACGTATAAATACGCGTTTTAGTCTAATTTGCAAAAATTTGGACGAATGTTGGTACTAACACGTAAAAATTAGCAATCGTGGTACCAATCTGCATGTGATTCCCGAATTATGGTACTGTAGGGAACATCTTGAATCCTTCTGCTGCTTTACGAGAACGAAACCAGCGCAGGAATCTCATGGGAATTTCACAGAGAATTAACGGCCGGGTTAAATCCCCACGATCGACCTCCACGAATGGCGAGCGCGAGCCACATAGAAAATTGACTGGATAATGTATACTACGGTTATGCGATGGACTACGTACCGACGAAGTGGCCCCGGAGCTCAACGACGGCGCCCTCCCAGCCGCCGTAGGGCACGCCGGGCGCCGGCAGCCCGGCCTGCCTCCGGAAGCTCCACACCAGCCGGTCCACGTCCAGGAGCAGCAGGTACTCGAGGTTGGTCTGCTGCGCGCGCCCGTACACCTCGTCGCCGGGGTCCAGCCGCACGTCGTGCAGCGACGCCTCCACCAGGAACGACGACGAGGGCGGCGCCCCGGCCCGCGCCGCCGACGAGCCGACGCCGCCCTTGAGCGTCCGGTACAGCATCGCCCAGTCGAACTCCTCGGTCGCCTCCGCGGAGCCGGCGGCAGCGGCGGCGAGGGGGAGGAGGTCCATCCACGCGGACTCGTCGGTGGGGTTGAGGTGGTCGTGGAACAGCTCCCGCCACCGCCACTCCTCCGCCCCCGGCGTGCTCTGCAGCCGCGCCCGCACCGTGTGCGACGACAGCTGCGTCGGCACGTTCGTGCACTCCTTGGCCACCACCGCCACGCACGACAGCAGCAGCACCAATGCCACCGCCGTCGCCGTCGCCATCACCAGCGGCGGCGCCGGGGCCATTGCCAGGATAAGGCACCCCCCTGGCTCAGCGACCACCACTCCACTCCACAACCACTCCCCAAACAAGCACACACGCAGACGCAAACGGAGCGGCGGTGTGGCTGTGGGCAGAAACCTCAAGAATCCCGGAGGCTTTTATCGCCGCGCCCGTGCGAGCGCGACCACGGTCCACAGGAAAAAGACAGCGTTTCAGTCTCGAGAGATTTAATGTGCTATTACGAACAAGCGAACGAACGAACGGACGACGCACAGTCAAACACGGGAGGATGAGTAAACAAGACCTCTACTCTACTGCTGGCTTATCGGTTTTACTCGGCGATCCATCAGGTGACGCACACACGGCGGCTTGTCACATTGCGTCCTCTTTGTCACGTTGCATTCCCGTGATGTAAGTAGCAGCGGGCCAGTACAAGGCAAGCTAGCTTAGCTTAGCCCGCGGTGGAAAACGATTTGAATATGATGGATGGCCGCCATTTTTTACTTCTTCTCTTCATTGTTACA